AGGCTGAGGCAGGAGGATCACAAGTTCAAGGCTAGCCTCAGCAACATAGTGAGACCCCAAGCAACTTAGCAAGAACCTGTCTCTAAATAAAAAATTAAAAGGCCTCAGGATGTGGCTCAGTGGTTGAGCACCTCTGAGTTCAATCCCTGATACCAAAACAAACAATAACAAAACAACCAAGCATGACTATAATTAACCACTTCCCACAGTTTTGTGGGTCTCCTGAGCAGCTCCTCCACTGCCTGCCTGGGGCCCTTCTCATGCAACAAGGTCCCTCGCACACCTGGCAGTTGGCACAGTAGTGGGGGCCTGAGGTTCTCCTGCACGTTCCTGTTGACCTTAGAAACGTGGAAGGGCCTCTAATATGATAGACGCAGGACCATGCTCCAAGTCCCAAGGCTTGGACTCCAGAGCCGATGACATCCTTTCCCCCCTACGTTCTACTGCACAAAGTCCCAAGTTCAGCCCAGACTTATGGGGTGGGAATTAGACCCCACCTTCAGGAGCTCTAAGAATTGGCCATATCTAACCTACCAAGCGCGCCCCATCGGGATACACAGGAACAAACGCACCCCTGCAGGCCCCGTCCGAGGCTCTCCAACACCACAGACTCCTTGAGCAGATCCAGCATCAGAATTTCTACATCAAAGGAGCATGAGAGCAGTTCAGTTGGAAGAGGGTTGGTTAGTAGGCTTATTTTCAAAGTGATTAGGAAACAAAATTTTCTTTTACTGAGATATGTTTATGTGCAGCAGATTTGCCTTATTTTGAGGTGTCAGTTCTATGCTGTCACATGATAAGCGTATGCTTCACCTCCTAGGAGACCACCAAACTGCTGTCCAGAGTGACCGCACCCTTTGACATTCCCACCAGCAACGTGTGGGACTTTCTCCAAAACCTCACCAGCACTTAGTTTTGACAGTATTTTTAAATTGCAGCCATTCTAATAAGTGTGGGGTGTCTCTTTGTCAAGGTTTGAATTTGTATTTTCCTAATGAGCTCCAGGGATGAGCATCATTATTTGATGTGCTAATTTGGCATTTATAGATTTTACTGTGTTTTGAACATGCCCCAGCCCCCAAAGTCCACAGGTTGGAAACTTAATCCCCAATACAACAGTACTGAAAGGCAGGACCTTCAACAGCTGTTAGATCCCAGGGGGCAGAGACCTCACAAATGAATGAATGAATGAATTATCACTGACGTGGGTTTGTTTGTTTATTTGTGTGGTTTGGTTCTGGGGATTGAACCCAGGGGCACTTAACCACTGAGCCCCATTCCAACCATTTTTCGTTCTTTGAGTCAGGGTCTCACTAAGTGGCTGAGGGTCTCTCTATGTTGCTGAGGCTGGCTTTGAATTTATGATCCTCCTGCCTCAGCCTCCCCAGCCTGGAATGGGTTTGTTATCAACGTGAGCTCCACACCCTCTTGATGGCTCTTGTCCTCTCACATATGCCACCGGGGGCTGGTAAGAACCCCTCACGGATATGACACCACGCTCTCTGACTTCACATCCTCCAGAACCATGAGCCAAAGAATTTACGTTCCTTACAGTTGACCCAGTCTCAGCTCTCCTGGGATCCAGCATCAGTGAACTGAGGGACATATTCTTCAGTGAAATTTCTGTTGAACATTTTTCTACTTTTTCAAGTGGGTGCTTTGTTTTTTTTGTTGAGTTTTGAGAATCCTTCCTACAGACTTGACACCAAGCTTTCTCCGCTGTATGTTTTGCAAATATTTTTTTCCCTCATCGGTAGCTTGTCCATTTGTTCTCTTAAGTATCTTTCACGGAGCAGGAGCAGTGAAGACCAATTTATCACCATATTGTTTTCCCCAGAAGGGGCTTTTGCGGTGGTATCTAAGACATCTTTGCATAAAGATTTTCTCCTTTTCTCCTTGGAGTTTTATAGCTTTTAGTTGCACATACAAGTCTATGATCCTTTGTCAGATTTTTTTTTCATATAAACTGTGAAATGTGGGTTGAGGTGTACGTTCCACCCAGATGTTCGATTGTCCTAGGATCCTTTGTTGACAAAAGGACTTCGGGACACATTTCCCTGAATTGGTTGTTTGTGGAAGGTTAGGGGGAAAGAGAGAAATGATTGACAGGTAGGGCGACATGCCCTCACGTTTCCACCTGGGCACGGAGCCTCAGAATTCCACCTGACCCAGGGCCGTGGACAGTCGGGCTGTGTTCCAGAGGCAAGCTGTCCCGTGAACCTTGCCAGATGTGGTTACTGTTTGACACTTTGGGAGAGAATACGATTTTTGTGTGTGTGTGCTGGGGATGGAACCCAGGGCCTCACACCTGCCAGGCAAGTGCTCTGTCCCTGAGCCACACCCCCAGGGATGGACTCCGAGGGAATGGACACAGCCCATTCTGGCTCATGGGTAGAAGCCACTGATAGCCTCAGACACCCAGAGAAACCTGGTGGAATGTCAAAGCATGTCTCTGGGGACAGAAAGGGACAGGCCTGGAGGCTTCTCCTAGGGGTGTCCTGAAATGAGCTGTAGTTGCCGAGGCCCCTGCACACAGAGGAGGAGCCAGACACTCCGGCAAGCCTCCTTGCGGGCTCTAGCTGTCCCCTGCACTGCACCTGCTGTCCCTCTGGGGTGGACTAATGACCACATGGCTTCTGGTCCTAGCATTGTACTTCTGGGATCTGTAGCCCCAGGCATAAGACCAAGCAAGTGGTCCAGGCTGCAGTCCTCAGCTCTCTCGGGGATGGCAGAAAACTGGACACAGCCTGAGGGCCCACGACTGAGTGAATGCGTCCTGGGCCGAAGGCGTCCGTAGCTGGGTAAGGGTGATGCAGAGATCCCCTGGGGTCTGGAGAGGGCTGGCGAACACCTGCTGGCGAGAAGCCAGGGTACAGGCCAGTGCCTATGAACCACGGAAGCATTTTTTAACTACTGGATTTTTATGTAAGAATACATATTTCCGCAGGGCGCAGTGACACACGCCTGTAGCCCCAGCAGCATGGGAGGCTGAGGCCGGAGGATGGAAAGTTCGAAGCCAGCCTCAGCAACTTAGCGAGGCCCTAAGCAACTCAGTGAGACCCTGTCTCAAAACAAGTGGCAGGGGGTGGGGAGGGGGGGTGGCACTCAGGATGTGGCTCGGTGGTTAAGTCCCCTGGGTTAAATGCCCAGTACTAGAAAAAATAAAAAGGATATATATTTTCTTGTTTATCTTAACACCTGGGTCATCAGTTCCTTCTGTAACCAGCTCATAATCCCCACAGCCATAGTGTCAGGGTTTTATTTTAACCAAAACCCCGCTTTCCTCTCTTTGGACTTTTCTTGGGTCCCCAGTCAAGGAGCCAGGATGGAGAGGGATGGTTGAGGGCTCCCGGGGTAGGTTGGGGGACCAGTCCTCTCCAGGGCAGGTAGGGGGGGCCTTCTACAGGTGGCCTGCCTCTGTGCCTGGGGTGGGGCACCACAGCCCCCTCCACTCCCCAGCTTCTCCCATCACCAAGGACACTTATCTGCAATGACTCCAAAGGAACCGGTGGGTTTGAGGTTCTTATGAGTCACAGTTCCCTCTACTAAAATGATATTTGGGGTGGAAGGCACTGTTCAAACCAATACACCCAGAAATGCTCCGTAAAAGGAGAGGTGGCCTAGAGCTTTGTCCACTGGGCAGCCATCTCTGACATATCAGGCCTGGAGAAATATTCTGTGCCCCTGGGCAATGATAGGCAACTGAAACCCCTCTGCCCAGGTGAGCCCTCCAGGGTGGGAAACAGGGTGCTAACCTCCCATCCCATCCATGCCCAGGCCTTAGGCAGAGTGGGTGCTCCACCTCACCCGGGCACCACCAGGGCTATGCGCAGGCCCCAAGGAAGTGAGAAGAGGGAGACAGCTAGGTGGACGGGCTCAAGGGGGAGTGTTCAAAAAGTGCAGCGACTCAGTGTCCTGGCTCTGATCAACCCTTAGTTGCTGAAATAGAAGATGGAAGGGGGTTCTGGAAGAGGAGTTGAAGGGGACACTCAAGGAGCATGGGATGGAGGCAGCTTTCCTCCCTGGGTGGGGACCCTTGGAGATTTTGACAACTGATATGTCTGCATGTCTTCCATGGATGAGTAGAAAGAAAAAGAGGATGGATGGATAGATGGATGGGTGAGTGGGTGGATGGATGGATGGATGTGTGGATGGGTGGATGGATGGGTGGAGTGATGGGTGGATGGATGGATGGATGGATGGGTGGATGGGTGGATGGATGGGT